TCACGAAAACGGGCCGATGTATTTATATCGAGATTATGAGAATCTTGGAAATGAGTCGATGGAAACGCCTGATATGTTGAGACGAGTATATCAATGTAAAGTAAGTACAGATTATTCTCAAATTTTTAATTCTCAGCTTTGATATAATAACGTTGATTTTAAAATGTGTTAACGTCTTATAGCTTTATAAGAATTTTTGAAATCATGCAAACTTTCTTGTTAAGGTTCAAACCACAACGATATTATGTTATTCAGTATGAACGTTAGTTGATCATGGTAGTTAAGAAACGTAATTGAAATCAGAACAATTTCTATTTGATATTGAAACAATAATAATGTCCTGTCAGAAAAACGCTCTTGATATCACGGTAATGTCATAAATATATCAAAACAAAATTGAATTTATAATAGCGTTCCTTAATCAACGAATATTAAAATCGTGATAGTTTTCTGTTTTAAAATGTTATTTAAATCCTGATGTATCAGTAATGATCAAATTGTTCTTGTTTGTATGTAGCGCAGATTATTATATATTGTATTATATATTATTATTTAGATCATATAATATAATAATAATAGTGTTCTGTTTTGATACAACATTGAAAGCATATCACAACACTAAAATCGTGATGATTATAATTCCATTCTGTTTTGAATCGGATTTAAATCACTGTATACCTTTAGAACTATTTTTGGAATCCTTGCTGTTAATGTTAAACATCAATGTAGAATTTTAAAGGGTTGCTTGTGTTCGTTGAGGATGTAAGACAAAACTAAAAAATATTTAAGAATTATTAATTAAATTGTATTCATAGGTAAATATTGTCGAATTAGAATTTGTCCTATTGTATAGCTAGTAAAATCTCAGCTAATCAAAAAAAATCACTAATTATGACACTTGGTTTGCGAACGTAGCCAAAACGAAAGCAGCCTGGCATTACATGTTTTGATTAATTTAGACTGTACTGAATTGAGTAAGGTGTTCGACTTTCGTGGAACGAATGTGTTCTTATCACTTCAAACGGGATGTAGTGCTTTGGTCATGTTTAAATAGCACCAATCTCATTTCAACGCCCACAAAACAAAGTGTAGATTGCCTGGGTTAACACGGGTTAATATGGCCATGTAAAAACCCGTATTCGCAATACGATGGGTCTTAAGCAAAATAAACGCTAAATTGTAGAGAAATATGTCTCCTACTTATTCTGAAAACTATCGATCCTTTATATGGCCCAGCACCAAAACTAGTTTAAGCTGTTGACTTAGCTATTAGTTTACTTTATATTTTATTAACCCTTTTAAAACAAATTCAAGATGATCAAATGGACACATAGTAGTGAAGATAGCTTGCAAGGCAAGGTAACATAAGCCCATTGGAAGCTGTCCGAAATGATAAAACAGTCTTCAGTGACTAAAGTACGAATTTTCTCATATTGAAAAATTTTATTAGTTTGAATTCAATTACATATATATATGCCAGTTATTTATGCTGAGTAATTCCACCAAATTTAAAAAAATCAATATCAATAACCCAAATACGACAAGTAATTAAATCGCACAGCCTTAAGCAAGGGCAAAAAAAAACATTTTGACACGTTTTTCCTAAGTCAAGGGCAATAACTCAAAAACAATTCATCGAAAAATCATCAAGTTCAAACTTGTCTACGATCTCATCAATATAAATTACGACACCAAATTTCATTAAAATCAGTTGAAAGCTGTAGTCTCTATTGTGTTCACAAACACGCGTTTTTCCTAGGTCAAGGGCACTAACTCAAAAACCGTTCATTGAAAGATCGTCAAATTCGAACTTGACCAGGCTCTCATTAACATAAATGATCATACCAAATTTCTTTAAAATCAGTTAAAATATGTAGTCCTATTGTGTTCACAAACGAATTTGACGCGTTTTTCCTCAGTCAAGGGCAATAACTCATAAAATTTTCATCGAAAATGCGTCAAGTTAGCACTTGTCCGAAATCGTATCAATTCCAATGATCACACCAAGTTTTATCAGAATCGGTTGAAAACTGTAGCTTCTATTGTGCTCACGATCAAATTTTGACGCGTTTTTACAAAGTCAACGACAATAAGTCAACAACCGTCCATCGAAAAAGCGTCAAGTTAGAACTTGTCCGAGATCCAATCCAATCATCACACCAAGTTTCATCAGAATCGGTTGAAAACTGCAGCCTCAATCCTGCTCACGAACTATTTTTAACAGAGTTCGACGCTTTTTAACAAAGTCAAGGGCAATAACTCAAAAACCGTTAATCGAACCTGACCGAGATCTTATCAATCTAAAGCATCACACCACATATTCATGCTGGCGTTTAAAAAGCATACTATAGAAATATGTTCTGGTATAATTTACATCGTTTTTGATAATTAAATTTTGCATACTGACTCTTTAAACGGAAAGGTTTTGGTTATTTTTAAAAAAAGTGGAAAGGGACTTATAGACAGATATCAACCGAAAGAAAGAAAATCGTTATATAAGGTAGAAAAAAAGCTTTATCTGTTTATTGAACTTACACAAGAAACGAATTCATTAATAAAATACACTTGATGTACTATTTCCCTCCCTTTGTAAACTCTTCAATCAATAACAGTTGATTTAAATTTCGAGTACAAAAGAGAGACCCGACTCGTCAACTATTCCACCGAATAGAAAAGCCATTTTGTTTTATATTGTTAGCACCTGGTATTACCTTTGATATGCCTTAGGCATGGGTTTATTTGTCGTTAGTGTTGTTTATGAAAATATAATAATATTGAAACTATGACATACGATTATGTCCGTGTTTGGGTGTAGTCAGCTAGAAGCATTAAAATTTATTCCATTCATTGAAATACGGCAGTTTTATCATTTGCTTTTGGAGGCTGGGTGATTGTCGTCAATTCGCGCCATATGGAAGTTTTGCAAATACTAACTATCCATAATATTTATCCAACCTCAGAGATAACTGCATAACGATTAAAGCAATCGTTTCAACGAAATTGGGTACTTTGCACTAAACTCATAAGATATATATCAGTTGCATTAGGTATGGTCTTGCATTGCATCATTAAGATTAACTTCATCTACCAAAGTTTTGTATAATGGCCATACAGAATTTTTATCTTTTAAAGAGTTTTAAAATACGTTTTTCTCCGACGGAAGAGTTGATAAATCATTTTGAAACGTATCAAATTTTCTGATATTGTGTTCACTTCTGTAATATGCAATCAAGATTTGTCTTTTTCCTGAGTTGATTATAACGTGTTGTTTTCCAGTTTGATTGGTGTCGAGTGCTAGTCTCTTCTGTAAATTCTGGCTTTTGTCCACTAATCATTTTCAATATTGAACATATCGTGTGATTTGAGATGATAAAATATTTTAATGAGGTTTTATTCAAGCGGAGATCATGGATTTGTAAAGTATTTAGGTCATGTAACAATTAAAAAAACGGTTGAATTTAGATATGTTTATTGACGTTTCTCTCCTTGTCTTTGTTTAATTGTATGTTCAGAGGTCCGATGTCAAACTTAATAAAATTGGCTAGTCAAATCGTATGTGACCACACATTGTTTGTTTTGACACCTTAGTCTCAGAAAGCTAATGAATTAGATGAAATCAAGTGGATGTGCACATAGTTTAAAATTACACCTTTGCACAGTGAAGACCATTGTTATATGCTTTAAATTTCCTTAAAACAAGGCGATTTGATTGTTTGGATTATGTGAAAACTTAACAACAAACGTTGCATGCGAGCTATTCTAGATGTGATATGATATATATTTAAATCCTTATTTTGAGAATAACGGGAAAAATGATTGTATTCTGCTATTTTAAAATAGTACACTTATTGCACTATTTGCCTACTTATGTAACTTATCAGTTTAAATTGTATCTTTAAGAAGGGTATTGCTACATTTTTACCTCCGACAGAAAGGATTACTATCATAAAGCAACATAAATGCCACATAACTTTTCTTTAGAAATCGGTTCAGCTTTAAATTAACATTGGGTGAAGCTAAAACCAAAATGGACGGATCAGACTCGATAGAAACTATAATGGTGGAATATAAGGTTCACTATTTGATATCTTTTGAGATGTAGTTAGGACATTGTGAAATGTACAAAGATATCGTTTTCTCTGAAAGAGATACATGTCATAGTTACTCCAATCATAATTTTATTATATGCCCTATTTCCTTTCTTTACAAAGCTTCATAATGCCTTTATTACTTGAAATGTGGGGTATAGGGCAAGGGGTGTATGTTACTTATTAAGACTCTAAAGGTTTGTTTGAAACTAGACCCCCCCACCTCCACAGCATAAACTAAAATATATATAATGGACAGAAACTAAAGTGATTCAGGTATTTATTAAGGAATTTCTCTACGAAAACTCTAGCATCCTTATTGTCCTTACCTTCACATTTACTGACTTTGTATATTTCAGGGAAGTCTCCCCAACACTATGACCAATGGACCTTTCGTAGACAGACCGATAACACTACCGTCCTACGACTCTACATCTGATCTGTTGGGCCAGGAGAACACAGTCCAAGACGGAGTGGTCAATCCTGTTTATCATGATGGCATAGACACATCCAATCTTAACCTGGCTTGCAATAACTATAGGAATCTGCCAGCGAGTGAGATGATGAAAGGTGATCGTGATGATGCCTCGATCAGTGATTCTGGGGATACAGTAAGGAGGAGGCTTCCAGCTGGCAGAGCTGATGCTCGGGACAGCACGAGCAATTCCAGGTGAGTAAATGTTAATGATTAGATTTACGAACTGTACGGAAACTTCTCTTCTATAAGTCTGCCCCTGGTATATTATGTGGCACCTTGAATATATTTTTTTCGTGACTCGTCTTTTAGTGGGAATTAAGGCCAATCGAAGAAGGCTGATTTGAACTGTCCTTAAATAATTACAGCTTTACAATTGTTTTACCCTTTTGTTTTTCAGCTACGATAGTCTACCAGGTGGCATTCGGCCATCTTGGAAAACATGGGACATTTTTCGTATGGTGAAAGAGGATCGTGACAGTACCTTGGATGATCCCACATTGAGTTTGGTGAGAAAGATCGTCAAAGTGACGGTTGGGATATTTTTAACTTTAGCAGTGTTGATGTCCACAGTGCTCAGTAAACTTTCTTTGTTATTAATCACTTCCAATATCTATAATAATATGACGTTAAAGTGCTATGATGGAATATTCGAGGAAACCAAAGTGTGTTCTGAAAAATTACCAGTCTTTAATAACGTGACTATATACGAGATCAACCAGACCGTTGAGATTAGATGGATTTGGGCTTTATTCGCTTGTGTTGTGATACCATATGTGTTCAATTTTGGTCGTTCTATGTGGAGGATGTGTTTTAAAAGCACGAGGAATCCAACATGGGGCGTTTTATTGGCGGTAAGTCTAATATTTATTCCAATCTATCTGGAAATGTGGGTATATTAGACCAGAACATTCGTTATTCTGTTTTAATCTGTGTCGTGTTGCAGTAGAGGTTACTAAGTAGTATCATGGGGGTGGCCTCAGATCGACTTTTGAATAGGCAGTATCCGTGAGCGAATGGATTTTCAACGACTGAAATAGCAGCTGGTAGCACGTTGCAAATCTGATCAATCGTTACATATTTTTCAATTTATTTTCAGGTATTACTTTTCGAATCAATCCACTCCACAGGTATCTGTATATTTACCTTTCACCTGTTGCCACACATTGATTCTTTACGTGGCTTGGTCCTCATGCTAGGGGTTGCCTTCATACCGTCCTGTCTAAAATTATTTGACTGCCAGGAGGAAGGTGGTCGCTCAATTGGTGTCATTGCGTTAGACGTCATCGCCTTAATTATTCAAGCTTCTGCGTTACTGTTATGGACGATAAAAAACGTTGCTTTAGGTGTAGACACAGATGAAAATTGGTCAATACCTATATCGTTGTTCCTAATAAGTTTTGGATGGTGGGAAAACTACATTAATCGTTTTACATGTTTGGGTCCGCTCGGTCGTCACTTACTTAAACTAAAGAAATCCATCCGTCGTATGAGGACTAAAGTGTATACCTTAGTCAGTTTGTGGAAGATAATTTTAACTCTTGGTATTATGACCGTTGTTGTAAGCCGTGGACAGCTGGCCTGTATGAAAGTCCTATATTTTCTTGCTGATCCGTTCAATAACCCTTCCGAATGTCCCAGACTAGTGTATGCCTTCGGTACCGCTGTTTCCTACGATTCTAATGTTCTTAGTAATCCGTTTTGGGTGATGTTGTTTCAAGTGTTTGCCTGTCTCCTTTGTTATTCGTTTGCTAAATCTGCATGTAAAATACTGCTGCAAGTGGGTAGTTTCGCTTTACCTTTAGTGTTATCAATGCCTATTATGATTGGAACGCTAATTAGTAGTTGTGAATCATGGAAAGGGACTTCTGGTGCTGCTAATTCAACTTCAACATCGTGGTTATCTGTGCTCCCAAGTGATATTTATTGGAACTGTCATGCGCCCGGGGAATCTGATAATTATTTGTGGACGTTGCTGGCTGATTACTATATCGTCATAGCCTTGGCTTGGTGGCTGTCCTTTATGTGGGTAGCTGTGCATATTTGGTTTCCAAGAGTTGAGCGACTTGTTCAAACAGAAAGGTAAGGGGGAATAAATGCATTGCTATATTATGCACTTGATGGTAAAATTTATCTGTGCAGAAACCCGATGCGACACACAGTGGGCATAATCAAATAGAATTTTTGAGTGAAATAGATATTGAGTATTTGGTGTTCAATGGTTTTGGCCGGAATGATGTTAGGATTCATTTGTGTAGTCTTGATTGAAGCATGTTTTGTACGTATTGTTTGACAAGAGCATGATATATGTTGTGTAGTGTAATGTAGACCTCAAATCATTCTATTAAACTTCCCATTCTAGGCATATTCAACACTATTGTATTAACAAAACCTCATTAATTTCTAATGATACTTCAGCACACGTTATCTCCAAAATTTCAGATTGTTTGTACAGACCATGTATTGTGGTATATGTTTGGAGCAAAGTTTGATATTGAACAGAAGGCGAGATGATAAAGACCGTGATGTCCACATCTACAAAGCGGTATATACATCATACATTAGTACCTCATCTTAATGCACTTTAATTAATAATCAACCATCTGATGCTGGTGCATGCTGTAGATATTAAGTAGATATTATTAGGATATCTAGTTTTGCGATAGCATAAAGAAGGTTTTGTGTGTATAAGTGCAAAAAGTTTGGAATGAGAATCGATATCGGACTGTCAACCATTTAGTGTCAATTCGTTTCATCAGAAACTTGCGCTTAAAAGTGTTAATTTTATTCATTAAGATATACAATAAATTTATTGCTGTGAAACAAAAAGATAAAAACCACAGACAATTCATGTTCTTATCTTATGTATCATGCCGATCTCTGAATATAAGTAATTTTTGCTGCAATATGAACATGAAATTATGCTGCTTTTCAGAAACAGAGAAATGCTCTTGGCATCCTTCAACTAGAGCCAGATGAAGAAACCGTCCAGCAGCAGACTAGGGGTTCTTTAAGAACTGATGTAACACCAATGCTGTATGTTTGTGCTACAATGTGGCATGAAACGGACAATGAAATGATGCAAATTTTGACATCAATATTTAGGTGAGTGTCTATACATTCAGTAACCAAATAGAGCTTAGGTCGAGATGTGCACAAGAACAACTTATCAAAGCAAGTTTCAGTCAATTAAATATGCAATGCACATGCATGTTCTTTTAAAGCAAGTAGGGGTTTCATATAATTAATGAAAATTTGTGAACATTCAACAGTATTTGTGAGGACTGATTATCTTCACCTTTCAGATTGGATCTGGACCAGTGTACTAGAAAACACGCCTACTTGTTTTTTGATGTTATGGATCCAGATTACTATGAATTTGAAGCTCATATTTTCTTTGATGATGCTTTCGAAAGCCACGAAGATGAAGAATTTGAATATCAGACCAACGCCTTTGTTAAACAATTGGTTAGCGTTGTGGAAAGAGCTGCTAGGTAAGAACGAATTTTTATTTACAATTTTATGATTTGTACTTTCTTAACAATGACCGCTTGACTCTGACAGTGATGGTAAGCTTTATCTTCTCTTCTCTCCATCATAACTTAAAGTTTTCATGAGGGAATATTTGAGTCACTCTGTCTTGTATTTGTTTTTAGTGCTGTTCATCGTGTCCAGGTCAAGATGGAAAGTCCTGCTAAGTATCCAACACCTTATGGTGGCCGCCTAGAGTGGCATCTTCCCGGGCAGAATAAACTCATTTGTCATATGAAAGATAAAGCTAAAATAAGACTTAGAAAGCGATGGAGTCAGGTACGTAAACCTTGTACGTTTTGTGTAGTCAAATATGAAATACACAGAGCTATTTTGAGATCAATATATTTACACCACCGCAAAGCATTCATGTTGCTTGTTATTTTAACAGTCCACAATTATCATTGCAGGTTATGTACATGTATTACTTATTGGGACACAGATTGGTTGGGCAGCCTTTACCAGATGCTCGACGTAAACAGACTATCGCTGATAATACTTATATCCTTACATTAGACGGTGACGTTGACTTTAAACCATCCGCAGTTCAGCTTCTTGTGGATAGGATGAAGAAAAACGATAAAGTCGGTGCCGCTTGTGGAAGAATTCATCCTATTGGAACAGGTATAATTGATCCTGATTTTTTTTATCATTAATGACATATAGATGTATAAAGAATTAAAAATAAATTTAAATGAAATGGATATTTATGTCATACGTTTCTGCATCTCACGGACAATGTTATGCAGAGCAATGATGGGGATTTTAATGCTTAGTCCAATATTCTCTGTTCATTTTCTTCCATTTAAAGAAGGTGTACTTTTCCTGGTGATCATGTACTAAATATTATGCATGGTACCTTTAGGTCCAATGGTGTGGTATCAGAAGTTTGAGTATGCTGTTAGTCACTGGCTTCAAAAGGCCACCGAACATATGATAGGGTGTGTCATGTGTAGCCCCGGTTGTTTCAGTTTGTTTCGAGGTTCGGCTATTATGGACGATAATGTAATGAGAAAATATGCTACTTTGTCCACAGAGGCTGCTCATTATGTCCAGTATGATCAAGGTATGTTAAATTCCCTGATTGTTAATGGGATCGTATTATAAGGATGATGCCTTTTGGCCTTCTTTTTATACGCCCACATTATAATGTCCGTCCGTCCGTCCACAACTGGCTTGTGAACGCGATCGAGACTACAGTTTTCATCTGATTCGAATCAAATTTGGTGTGTTCATTTATATTGATGAGATCTTGGACAAGTTCGATATTCACGATTTTTCAATGAACGGTTTTTGAGTTATTGCCCTTGACTTAGCCAAAACGCGTCAAAATTGGCTTGTGAACGCGATAGAGACTACAGTTTTCATCTGATTTGAATGAAATTTGGTGTGATCATTTATATTCATGAGATCTTGGACAAGTTCGACGTTGGCTATCTTTCGATGAATGGTTTTTGAGTTATTGCCCTTGATTTATGAAAAACGCGTCAAAATTTGTTTGTGAACACAATAGAGACTACAGTTATCATCCGATTTAAATGAAATTTGGTATGATCATTTATAATGATGAGATCTTAGTCAAGATTAAATTTGACAATTTTTCGATAAACGGAATTTGAGTTATTGCCCTTGACTTAGTAAAAACGCATCAAAATTTCTTAGCGTTAGAGGTGACAGTTTATGTTAGAATTTAATAAAATAATGTGTGTTTGTTTAAATCAACAATATCTTGCACAAATTAAATTTTTGGTATGATTTGACACAGATAGGTGACTGCCCTTGATATACTGAAAATATATCAGGAAAGTGGGCGTATCTTGCTAGGCAACCACTTGTTCTGTTATCTATTTACATTGAGTCATGCGCTTACAGTTAATTCTGATAAAAAATAAAATCATAAAACTGATAAAAGGATGCCTCTTCTACGTTATATTTGGTGTTTATTATATAAAATTATATCATTTGTAGGCGAGGATAGATGGTTGTGTACATTGATGTTACAACAAGGGTATCGAGTTGAGTATTGTGCTGCGGCCGATGCTTACACATACTGTCCAGAAGGATTTAACGAATTCTTCAACCAGAGACGAAGATGGTCACCATCAACCATGGCTAATATCATGGATTTTCTTGCTAATTGGAGAGGCATGATCCGCAAGAATGAGAACATCTCTTGTCTGTATGTGATGTACCAATTACTTCTGTTCTTTTCTTCCATTGTAACACCTGGAACGACTTTTCTGCTGATTGTTGGTGCTATCAATATGGCTTTCCCCACCTTAGATCTACTAGATGCATTGTTAGCTAATCTGGCGCCTATTGGGTTGTTTATGGTAGTTTGTTTTGTGGCAAAGCCAGAGTGGCAGGTATTAATTATTTTTATTTTACAAATTGATATAAATCAGGCCTTCTTATATGGCGAAAAAAAAATTATAATTCAAAAATATTATTTATGAAATTAAAAAAGAAATAAAATAGTATAAATAGAATTGATTTTGATTTGACCAATGTTGGCTCCTGTTACTATGTTTTTTGGTGCAAAATTAGTGCCAAAACTGTGTAAAACCTTAGAACTTCCGGGCCCTGGACCCCACCTGCTAGCTTCGCAAGCTAAGCTCTATTTGACCCTTCTATACATTCATAATATGCATTTGGCCCTTTACAAAAATTAATTGAGAAGGCCTGATATAAATCAACTCGGAAGTTTTATAAGCCATAAGGTTGTATCAGTTCAGGAAACATTTAAGATAAGTGCGTCTCTGTCGGTGCTTGGTAGAAGGCGAAAGACTATGTGTTAAACTTCCTCAAAATGGTTACTCTATGGCAGCGAAATGTCAGTGCTTGTTGGATTATGTAATGAATATTGACCCTGTAACACATATCATCCAAATAAACTTAACATTCATTTGTCCAAAACATGCCATTTAAATCAATGTATTTAAAATATTTCAGCTTCGTATGGCAGCTATCCTTTCTGGTGTTTATGCTTTGGTGATGATGTTGGTAGTGGTTGGATTAGCTCTCTCAGTTAAGGCAGAGGGACTTTGTTCTCCAGCAACAATTTTCATGATCTTCCTTATAGCTGTATTCATGATAGCAGCTATTCTTCATCCAATGGAGTTCCTGAACATATTTTATGGTGTCTTGTACGTTTTAGCTATTCCTAGTATGTCGATGTTACTGATGATTTACTCAATGTGTAACCTACACGTGGTATCATGGGGAACCAGAGAAACGGCCACTGCTGTACCATTAAACGCCAAGAATTTGAAAAAGAATAAAGATGGAAAACTGCAGTCTCTGTTGAATATGTTCGCAAGCAACAAAACTGAACTTAAGAGTGAATATGGTTTTTCTTTTGGAAACTTGTTTCGATGCATATGTTGCCCAAAGAAAGTAGAAAATGCGGAAGAGGTACGATTTGGGGTAATACTTGACAAGCTTTCAAAGATTGAGAGTGCTGTCGGTGCTTTCCGTAATGGCTATCAATCCGTTCCGAACAGCCCTAATGACGATATTTCCAATCAACAATCAACTACCAGGGATGAATCTAATATGACTACTATTAGTACAGTCAGTGATACTGATCTACAACCTAAACTCAAAGGTAAGGCTTCAGGCAATTGCTGGGTTGTTTATTTATTTTTTTGTCAGTCGGACATTTTTCAACGACTTGTAAAATTTGATCTCAATTTCAACTTGAGAGTAGGTCTACTATACCATGTTCTACAGCACTGGTATTGTCATGATGTTTGACAAAAGAAAGGTCAACTGTGTCATTTAACGAACAGTTCTACTTTGTCACTAATTATAATTATTTTGCCAGGCTATCAAAAATAATGTGCATTTGCAGTACATTTTTAATCTACATTTATCCTGTCCCTTCTTATTGTTTTGGATACTTTAATTTTTGGAAATAATCAAATGCTTTTTATAGCACAAATTTGTTAGTTATTAATTTGATCTGCTACTTGGAAATAATAACGTATCTGATGAACCATCTCGCTATTCCTTGCGCGGATTATCTGGCAATCGATATCATTATTTGTTGTTGAGTTTTGTACATATATTTTAATTCTTCTTTCAGAAATCACTCCAGTAGTTCACAGTCACTACGATCACGAGTTTTCTCCATTTTGGTTAAAGGACACGGATATTGGGGAAGGTCGTGTGCGTTACCTAAGTCCTGAAGAGGATCGTTTTTGGAAAGAATTGATTGCAAAATATCTTTTTCCCTTGGAGAACAACGTTGATCATCAAAAGAAAATAAAAGTAGATCTGAAAGAATTGAGGAACAAGATGTGCCTTATGTTTTATATACTTAACGCCTTGTTTATAGTCATCATCTTCACACTACAATACACGAACGCAATCCAGGGTGGGGACGGTCTAGCTATCCCATTGCCGTGCTACACTGTTGATAAATCTCGAAAATTAACACTCGAACCAATTTCCATGTTGTTCATGATCGTGTTCGGAGTATCACTTCTTATCCAATTCATTGCTATGTTCTTCCACCGAATGAGCACCTTCCTTCACATAATTGCTTCCACGGACGTCAACTGTCTCAAAATGAATCAGTCAGAGCTTGCGGCTATGGACGTGTCCGATAAGCTGGAATTGGTTCGTCAAATGCAAAGTTACAACGAAGACGATGATACCAAATCGATATCTTCCATGGGATCATGTGATAGTGTTGAAGATGACAGCAGCATAACAAACGATGATTCGCCAAAACCACGAAGGCGCAAGACGGTCATGAGACTGACAAGACGTCGTCGAAAACCACCAGAGCAAGCCGGTAACCTGACCTCTAAATTTATGTCACGATATCTGAAACTGGCTAATGACCTAAAGAAAGCAAGACTTTCAGAGAGTGAGGACATCAATGGTGGGCCTAAAAGAGACAGCAGCAAGAAGAGAAAGAAGTCATTTAAAAGGTCAGATCGAGCATTAAAGAAGCTCGAAAATGACAAACAATCTGTGTTAACAAAGGCTCAGAAATTCCAACGATATAAAGGGATGCCGAATGGTGATACTAATACTAAAGGTGACCCTTGGTTTAAAATGATGAAAAATGCTCTAACAACTTCCAGATCCAGTTTAAACACCATTGGCGAGGAGGACCATAAAGGTGGCCATAGAGGAAAGTTCCGGCGTTCGAGTAGTATTGACCATGGAGACGCTCGACCCACTTTAGAACGGCAGAATACTGGAGAGTTCAGACCTTCTCGTGCTAGTTTTAGTGCCTTTCCATCCGCACCATTGACTGTTGTCACTGAAGATACAACTACGAAAACAGAAGAAATCTATGAAGACGTGGATGTGGAACTTGATGCAGGTAGTAGTACTAAGGAAGACAACTCTAGTTTAGAAAGTAATGAAGACATAGAAATGAAAAACTTTGGAGAAAGTGCCGGTATAACTAATCATAAGTTATGATGGTCTTCTAACCCAGATGTTGAAAAGACGCACTCCCCTATATTCAACTAAATAAGGAACCTGGGGTGTAGAGCAAATATCGTTCTGGAAATAAGATTTGATGTTGCGATGGGAAAGGCTCTAAGTAAACGAACAAATATACTTTTATTTATGCCATCTCACAAACTAACTAACTCACAAAGATTTCGTGGCGTAAAGATCCGAATGACCAATACTTACTGTGATATTTTTGTTATATACTACATCATATCCAAAGATATTTTAATATTATTAAGTCTCGTATATTATGCAAATACTAAAGTCAACGATCTTGAGAATCAGTGTCATAGAAATGTGTCAAACTGCCATAGTTCCAGTTGGGTGTACAAAATAAATGTTTATTTGTTGGTTGGCTGTATTGTAAGCAGGGCAAAACTATTTAAAGAGAAGAATGGATAAAACATTAATGTTCAAAATTTTTGTTAACGAATTTGTGTAATCTATAAAGGGATTGCACTTTTCGGATCTCTAATATTTATCGGAAAATATAAATAAGTATATGTTACAAGGTCAATCATATTCAAGTATATATGAACACGTGCCCACTACAATAGTAATGTTTCTTGGTTATTTTTACCTTTTGGGATATTGTGCTACCACAAACTTGACGTTTTTAGACAAAGGACTTACGTCGATCTGCTGGTACAGAACTCTTAGCAGAAGGATAATTAATATTTAAATTGAAATTATGCCATCGTGAGTAAAATGCATGTAAAATACCGCTGATATGAAATCGCATGTAGAAAGAGTATCGACATGCGATACATTTTCATCAATTGTATCTGTTTTGTCATGTTCCTTTCGCAACGGTAAATATTGTAAAAAATAGACAATATTTACCGCTGCTAAAGGAGCATGCTGTTGTGTTTGATAAAGTATGTTATTTATTGGGTTGCTTATATTTCAACCCCATTGTTATTCAAACAACATTAAGTGAGGAGCGAGACTACCATGACGTCATAGTGTTCAAAGAATCAAAAAATATATAAGTCTTTATCAACTAGTCATATATAAATTGAAATAATCTTGCATAGCTTTATAATAATAAACATTTTGGCAATAGTAACACTATTTCCTTCCCTTTTTGAGTTGTTTTGCATCAAGTGTAAGGAAATTGTAAGAGTCATTTTTATTATTTTTATATTCCTTATTTGGAATTTACGATTTACAATAATCGATATTTTTCGATATTTTTCATAGTAAATATACTTTAAATGTGTATGCTTTAGTCAGTCGCTTTTTGTCATAATCTTCCTCTTCTAAGTCAACATTAAAGCTATTGTCAACAAATCAAATAAAGAACACTTAGGTGATAATGTATCTGACATTTGGCCATTTATCTTTCCTTAAACTTTTAATAATGCAAAAAATGTTACCTATCAAAAAAACCATGTACAGCCTTTAGTTTCAAGAACCATCCGCTATTTTATCAGACGTATTCTTTTTGCTTAATTAGAAAAAACACCTAATTCTGTGTGTGCGCAGAAACCGAAAACCTCGGGTTTACAGCTATCCATAAACTTGCCTAATTTATAATGACGGAAGTTACATTTGTTCTTATGTTTGCTTGAATTATTGCATATATTGTAAGGCTTCTTATTGTACATTTCTAGACATATTATCCTGGTCCTCCCTGCGTATTTTGTTTCTGATAACACTATCGATTATATCTGTTAATTACAACAAATCACAATCCTTGTGTTGTGAATTTTTATACGCCCACATGAAATGTGTAACGTCAGCCATGTCCATCGGTCCACAATTTTTCGTAAACACTAGAAGGCACAATTCCTGACTGATTTTGACGAAACTTATGATGATTGTAATAACCCAAGGATGAACACTATTGAAAATCAGAAAAAAAGATAAATATTTGGTATTATAGAAGGTGCAATTCTTGACATGATTTCTAGATTTTGACGAAACTTGGTAGTATTATACAGTATCGCCCCCAAAAAGTTTAAAATAAGTGGAAGACTGAAGGTTGAATATTTCATACTGGTAACTGTAAGCTTACTGCCAAATCTTTTTGTTTAAAATCAAAGCTGCCAGGGAGCGTATATTACCTGGCAAGCTATCTTGTATGATTTCCATTATATAATAATTAACAAAATAATTATCTGTTATACTTTTGCATTCCTTTGAACACAGTTATCCATTTTCCCATCGGCGTCTTTCTGTTCTGTAGTATTTTTTGGACTCATACGTTGTAGGAGAGCAAAGATATGTATACACATCGTTTGTATGCTTTAACGTTTATATCCTGGAAAATAATATTATTTATGTTTTACTGGTACCCGGGTGTGCATGCATATCTTTCCTAGACTGTACACATTAATTTATCTCATTCCATTATTCAAGAACCTTTATTTTATATGTTTTATATTATAAATATAATTGTAAATACTATATTTATATCATGTATCTTGCCTTATTAAATTTGTTATAAATTTATCTTTGTCGTGTTTAATAACCTATCTTTATCCCTGTTAGATTGGCCCATACTTTGGTAGTTTTCCAAATAGCAATTGAATCACCTTATTAGTATAAGTATGTATCATATGGACTTGATAAATAGAAATGTCTGGAAACTATAGTTCAGAATTCAAAATTTATTTCAAAAAAACACAACACTTAAACAATTTACACAATTATTAGAGAAAAATGTAAAACCTAGTTTAACTTTTATTTGTAGCCTTTACATATCAAATACTTCATTATAGTCTGCCTAGGCCAACGAAACGGCTAAAAGTGTGGAGCATACGGACACTTTTAATTCAGAGTCGGCCAGGCCAATTGGTGTGCATTCAAAAGATCCCGAACACTTAAAAGAAAGTGTTTTGTGAATTCCTGTTGCCTGTAGGATGTCAGCTGGTACAATGGAATATTACCCAAAGTTCTGTGAAACAAAATACCCTTCTATTTATACAGTTTTCTTATTTCTAGGATATTTTATTGATCAATATCAAGTTGTCAATTAACCATTTCTGGAAAGCTGAAAATCGAAAAACAGTAGACAAACTGTGATCGCTGTCTTGGACAATCTCCCCCTTTTCATTAGCTCAACAACCCATAAAAGTTGGTAAAACTCTCAATTCATAATTCCAGCTCACCTTTATGAAAAATATGATTGCGTGACTAACATTGAGATCGTGAATTAATCATTACCATAACGTATTTTCTCGCGTTTTTCGTACTGATTTTGCATCCACTGGGCATTCTCAGTGTGAATTTTTCAAATGAAGATTGTTTAACACGATAATCCGTTAATGACATTTTATCTGCCAACTGTCAACGATATATAGTCATTTTACTGGATGAAGAAGATAACAATAGTTACCCGCAAATTTTTCAGAATACATGTATATCGGACAAAAAAAAACGTCTCGCATCTACTGAATTCTATCAACACGTTGTTCATTACAGTCTTTTTTAGAAGTTTATTTGTTTCACCAGCTGAAATAGTTTAAGCACAGTATGACCAATTTGGCCACTATGTCATTGTCTGCTACTTTATTTTGAATGATGCACTTTGTATTCTTTCTAAACGCATAGGGCACTGTCCTTTATTGCCTCAATTGACCAAAATAATGCAATGAAATATGAAGCCAAATAAAATAATTTAAGAACGGCTGTCAATAAAGACAATATTTATCGGTCCACATAAAATTATCCATTACTGTCCAACTTTTACATTATAGTTATGCAATTATATACAATTTGCCTTCCCTCAACAGTTTAAAATAGATTATTTGGTTTAAATACTTTAACAACACAACAACACTACGTGCATATTCTCGTTCAAATCACTTCATTTTTCAATCAATCCATTTAATAATCGGACGGGAATAAATTGGTTTCTGAAAATAAAATCAACATAGTGTGAAAATAGATGAAGTACAAAGAATGACCTAGAATGGCAGATACAATCCTTACAGTACAGTATCAAATGGAATCATGAATAAAGGATATGCCAATTCAACGAGTTCTATAATGTTATTTGCAACGTGCTCTTAGATGAATAACATTAATGAACGTGTTAGGATATCAACGTAGTAATAGTATTCTGTTCATATGAATTATTTGAAAAAACAATTTTTTTTTCCACTTAGAAAAATTAATGTGCCAAAAGTACAACAATTTTTGTCTCTCAAATAATGTTTTCAATAAGCGCCTGGACACTAAGACCTATCAACATCCAAAATCCTATAGAAGCAATATTGAAACAATTTACATGTATTGCGAAATTTGTATTGTTACTAAAGGATGGGCGTGCGTGATGATATCCATTAAATGCGCAATACGCCAACTCACCGCTTTATTTCAAAGACAATTTCGTGCATGATAGGCATTTGATTGCGTACACGAGGGAAATGTTTACATTCCCAGTCATAATACGTCGCGAGATATGTACACATACTTATAATTACTTCCCAATATTAATGGCAAGTGGGCCTTTGGGAGAGGTACCCTTAATAGTACTTTAGACCCATTACCAACAACTGACTGTCTTTGTTCTTCATCCTAATGATTCTAAGTGATTATTTTTTCTAATGAAACATAAATTTAGGTATATCAGTATAGTTGTTAATAATGAATTACCCAATAATTATATTTTATATCACATCGTATTCATAAAACTCAATATACATTGTTACTTATTATATCATTGCCGAGTGTAAACAGACATTAATGAGACATATATCATTATATTTATATCATATACCTGGACCTTTAGTCCTTTCAAATTCTTTTTTGACATCAATATCAGTTGAAAGGGCTTGTTTTACAAAAGCGTACATATATTCATACATCATACATTAATTTTGTTCAAATATTTATTTTTCAAACCTTTTGCTATTTACATAAGAAACAAAGCAATCTCAATTTAAAAGTAAATTACGTTATTAAAGTTGAAACATCATTCAGTCAAATTAGAATGAACAAGAAAAGGTGTATTCAGTGTCTCGGAATACACATTTTGTTCGCGTCACAAAATCCCAGCGTTGGAGAGGACAGGAATTTGATTGGCTTGCGGTGTCATCAAACAGACGAATGTTCAAGAAGGCCGTCTTTAGACAGTTTGGTCTAATTCATTTTAAGACTGGAATATCAGTGAAAAGACTGTCATATTCATTGCATATATCCTTGGTGTCAAATTCGCCAAGTGTAAATATACATCAAAGCTTTCTCGGAATAACGCAATTTCATGTTTACGTCAGTTTAAATTAAAAAATACCTGTTTCAAATGTCACAAAAAGGTCAAATTATTATAATATAAATTTCCCCCAGTCTTTAAAATCCTAAACCATTGATTCTGCAGAGCAGAAAGCTATGTTAATTTCAGATCAATCTCAATTCAAAACCATTTGTTTGCTTTGCCGTCAAATGGATAAATTGAACAGAAGAATTACTAAATGTCATGATCACCGTTTATTTATTTGATAAATTACATTTATTTACCTTAAATTAAGTGACACATTATTCTATAATCAAATAATACTTTATATTTATTGAATGATTAGATTTTTGCCATTGAATGACCGATTGATGACATATCAATGTTTGTCTTTGGTGTCATTTGTTATTGTGATATGGTTTAGTGCAGACAATCTCCAAGAACTCTCTCAGATTTGAATAGTACTTTGCAATATGGTCGTCGCTCGAAATTAGTGCTTCTCAACGGGGAAAGAATTCTTAGACCAAGGGGAGAATTAATGCCAGGGGGAAATGGGGAGGAATCTACTTATGCCATTACCTACCACGTATCTGGTGGAGTGTGGAATCATACATTAATGATGTACTCAGACAGAAACTTGGTTCGCAGAAGATAACTAATTGAGTTCATCGTGAACCAACACTAATGGTCTCATTGTACTATCTTGATATGTGGAGTATGAATTTATATTCATTAATGGTTAACCGTTGCATTAATTTTTCTAGTGAAATACGTTTCAAAATAACTCATTTATTTTTGGAAGGAATATATTTGGAAGAACTCTTCCAGTGTCTTCTCTGAGGTTGAGAAGCACTGCTCTAAATGGGGGTTTGCTTATATTTGTCCCAATAACACCTTTCATTTCAGGATTACGTGTATTTATAACTAAGTCGGTTTTAAGTATTTTACTAGAGAATTTCATTTGCATATTGGTCATGCTAATTTTGAGGGCATGTGATGAGGCAGTTACTGGACACACTTGTTCGGATAACACTGATGTTTCCAGATTAGCATGTTTGCGTCAGGTGTCTACTAGAATTAAAGTACCGGTACTTACCCAACTTTTCTCATTTGCACCAATCTAATTATTCTGTTGTTATTTCTGGACAAATCATTTGTTTCATCAACTAACTTAAAAGGGTTATTTACTCTTGTTTTGGTACCTAGCAATTCCTTAAAAGTGGTGAAATAGGCATTTTCGGGTAGTCGTTCTTGACTTCTTTTTCCTGGTACAAATGATCCAATTCCAACTCTTTGAGCTCTCGTTGTACCCCTTTTGTTACTTGGCGCTCTCTGTAGTACCCGATTTTGGTCTGTGAATAGTTTATTGAGAAGCCCTACACTGTGAGCGAACTGGGGATATAACGCTCCAAATTCATCATGGTTTTCTTCATCCTCGAATACTTTGATTGAAGGAAACATTTCCAGATGATCTTGACTTCCTCCAGAAGGTACTCTGGGTTCCCTCTCCATCGATTCAAATTCTTCTCGTGGTAAAACTCCGGGAAACATTGAATTGTCTCCCGTGCTAAACTCTCTCGGTACTACGACCATCCTGCTACTTACAACTGGAAATAACGCCATTAAAGCGATCCAGATCATGCATCCGTTCATTATTACTGAAAATGATAATGATAAATAACTATAGATGACTGTAAATACGCTCAACTAAGACGAAATATAACGTGTCAATTACAGTGTATATTATAATGAAATATTATGACTTAGTCGTGATAAAAAGTTTCGAAATTGGGAAAAATCCTCATTTCCGATAAATTCATAACCAAATCAAATTTAACAAAATTACTCTACTGAGTCGATATTGAATCTCTGAAATATGCTTTTTAAGTAAGTAAGTAATTTATAAAACAACGCAAAATAAATAACGCCTAATAAATTCAGAAAGTAACAGTACATATACATATTGCTTTCGCTTTACAAATCATACCGTCTTTTTGAAAAACACCCTTTTCAATTGAAAATGAACCAATTTCCTGGACCGAACTAATCTTTAACAACTTGCATGCTTTGAAAGCCATCATGTAGTCCGAAGTTCATGAACATTACTGTGCTTTTTCTTATTCAATGCCGTCCAAATATAGTTTAAAGCTGACAAGTTTTCCAATGTTAATTCTTCTTCAACCCATCCCGGCATCACACTATTTGACAACCCATTTAACCTTTCTGGCAGAACATTTATCTAGAGCTGTGGTTCACAACCTTGGTTTGACAGGCTGAATTAAGTAGCTTCGCGTCGAAGAAGCTTTCCAATGAAAGGTCTGAGGGTGTACTCCCCATGAAAAATAAAATTGATTTGGAGCATTCTTACACATATCGTGTAAAAATGTCATGAAATAACATAGTAGAAGGTTGAGCAACTAAAATCGTAATTTTAAAACGTAACGTGAAATTTAGTACCAAGTTGATACAAAATCACTATTTATACAGTGACCTATTCTAGCATTTACACTTCGCTAGATCATAGTGACATACTATCAATGTCAAGCATAATATACCACAACCATCATTATCACTATTAATTGATTTTCCCATTCCTATTTATATATATTGTTGTATATCATTATATATTATCATGTTTGCTGCCAAAAAATAAAGGCGGACAATACAATAAATAAAACTAAGTCTAATATCTGCCTTGAAAAATCAGTATCGGGTTATATTTCTAATATAATAACAAATGTTATCTCCCTTGGGAAATTTGGAGACTGTCATTACATGTAAGTTCCAACATAAATAATGTCGTATCAAAATCTTGTTTTAAAATTAATTAGAAATAAAGTGGAGCTGGGTGAGGAGGTGAGGGGGGTGGGGGTGTACCGGGAAGCTCTTGGACAATTTCAAAATATTCTATGAAGCTCTTATGTACCTCTCCGACATTCGTCAACAAATATCACTCAGATGCTCGGACTACTATTCAATTTTTCTTATACTTTGAGGTTTCAAGAAAGAAACAATATGGCAGCAGACTTCGTGTCTCATTCCAATTTTAATCATGGTAAGTGGTTCTTTTTATCAAATTACACCAAAGAAATATTTCTATGCATGATGTTATTTTAAAGTACTTTAAAGACGTATGAATTCATGCATATTCATGCATATACTACCTCTGAAATATATATATATTGATCATTACTTTTTTGTTTAGCACAATATCCACAGAGAATTAATAAAAACTCACTGGAATATTTCCTGTAACATTAAGGAAAAAAGTATACAAATCATGATAGATTTTAAAATTACTGGAGGTAGTAAAATAAAACGGTATTAGCAAGCGAATTATTCCTGATGGAGAGTCATCTTAATATTTGAACCATCAGCTAGTGGACATCGATTGAAGAATTTAATATCTAATTCGCCTACATTTTTCTAAAGCCTATTTTGGTAGTCGAAATTGTCTTCTCTTCCATGAAATCAGAAACGTTCTTATGACATATGACATGCAAAAATTTTAAACTTTAAATTTAACAATAACTGTGCGCAAGTTGTTTAAAACGTCATACATGGCGAGAGTTTTTTTAAATAAAGCTATATCCTTGGAACTTAGTACGAGAAATAGATAAATCGTCCCTTTGCGAACTAATAAAAAAGCCACAGCTCCTTAAGATACGCAAATCTGTTGAAGCAAATTATATACGGTGTATAAATAAAGATTTCAAACAGAACTTACCGGAACATAATAACGTATAGTTTCGATTGCAACAATGAGAATTTTGTCTATGAAACACGATAGCCAACAAAGTAATTGATTAATAGAATGATAATTAAATAACATGATTTATCAAAATATCACTAAACTTAAGTTTAAAGAACTAAGCATCAAATAATACTAAAAGAGGCAATTTAATTCTGGATAAAATTGTGTTTCTACAATATGTTATCTAAAATTCTAAAATAAAAATAAAAACGAGTAGCTTTTTTCAGCAATCAAACTTAAAACTTGTAAATATTGTCCATACAAAACAATGATATGGAAATAAAATTAAAATACAATAAAAGTTTCAAAAAGTTACAATGTAGTACTTACAAAATCACGAAAAAGGTCCGCTACACTTGACTCTCTCTGGAACAGTGTGTAACGTTCTGGCCGTTGAAGATAGTTATCGTTATCGAACAAAATGAATTATTACAGTCGTCTATATTAATTTTTATTTCCAACTCATTTCACAAATTAAAGCCTCTATTTATATACTGATGTACAGGCGACACGACAGTAATGAGAAATTCTGAATAATTAACATTAATAATTAAGGCACAGAAAGAATGAACAATTGGAAAACCAGTTCTGATATATAGACGTTCATTGGTGCATCGTGGAAACTATCCCAGTAGCGTGCAGAGTACGATTTTCGCCCGATTATCATTAAACGCGTGAGCGTTGGAGTTTTGTATTAATCTAAATTGGGCACATGAATCCACATGGAAAAAAGTGCAGCAATTTGATTTTTCAAGTCAGCCATATTGATACTGCTATGGTATCTTTTGACGTTCATTAACAACGCTCGCAAACAATGGACAATGGTCAGAAACGATAAGAAAGGCGACCAAACACCGACCAGAATTCGCCAATGTCGGTATCTGATCGTTATATGGTCTTCAATGGTCGCAGTAATGTCACGTAATTTCTGAGTGTGACTATCTCTACTCCGCAAATTCCAGTCCTGTCCGACAATGTGTCAAAACAATCGTATGTTCAAGTCGTTTCGTGGTCTTGATGTGTTGAAAAATTTCACATGAAACTCTGGATTTTCAATTTCGTTTTTTTTCGGTTCCGTTGTCGGGGAATTTTTTATTTTATGTTCGCTTGATCAACGAGAGTGTCGAATAATAGCAACAAGGTTAGATCAGTCAACTAACGCAAATGATAAAATATTGAAAAGAAGTAGAAAGGTCATATGAAAATAAAACAATTCTATTTTTTTGGTCTGTCACGAAATGTAATTACACAGTGACGCTAACATATCTGTTCAATGGCGCCACACCCCCACTTATCTACCTACCAGCAACTGTTTTCAAAACTTTAAATTCGTTGCTATAGGATCATGCCACCCTCGAATGGACGTTTGAATACATTATTGTTTAATAACGTATTAATTTAAATTAATCTATACCCCAATGTATTGGTAATATTATGTCTTAATTTCCGGAATCACAGATGTCGGAAGAGGTCGATGCAAAAAGTGTGTTTGTTACACATTCAAGGGCTTCTCTTTTGAATTCCTGTGTGATACTAATCAGGCGAATAAATGTTTGACGAAAATGGTCAGATCTTCTTTACCTTTCATTTCGTTTTTCTTTTTCTATAGAGTTAATATTTTACATTACCATGTATTGAATGGATTCATTTTACATGATTTGTATATATAAGTTATAAATAATGTAAATGTTATATTTTATTCCAATTGTTCATAAAACAATCGTTGTGCATAACTAAAATATATAATTTATACCATGGGCATTTTTATTTAAGATCTTCCATCATCTTTACAAGTAACATTGTTCTAGTATTTCACTTTTTCTCTCTGTTTGTTAAAGACAAATGAAATGGAATTATATAGAAAGTTTACATTTAAAGGGATATACTAATCTTAATATTTCCTTAAAGGGATTGTGAAGAGGTTTACTAAATTTTGTATGTGTACAGCGGACACTGATAGCAACAATTAGCACCATTCCAATTTTCAATCAGTCGTCTGTGGCTCTTACAAATTTACTTAAAAGAGGTGTTGGATGACGCCACTAATCGTGAAATATGTTTGATCACATAGTGCCCATCGCTATTAGTGGCGTCACTTAGCTTTATTTGAATTGCAGGAACCATAGACGTCTGATTGAAAAGTTGGAATGGTGCAAATTACATATAGTTTCCAGTTACAATTACAATCCCTTTAACAAGCTGATAGAGTTTAATTTCAGAAATCCGTATTACTTTACAGAGATAAAATATTTTGTCTGTTGAATTAGAAGCCACACCTGATATAATTTCCTTCACCATCACCCCATCTTACTTGTAAAGAGTATCTGGGTCTTTAGAATAATTTGCGCCACTGTTAAACTGCAAGAGGTATCGATCTTTGCAAGGATGAAAAAGCAAATGTTTTGAACATCACATTGTCTGAATAGAATATTGAAATTCGCAAGTACAACATATTTTAATGTCTAATTTACAACAGCAGTAAGAATGCATTATTCTAGTTTTTTTTTTAACATAATACATTCGAGACCAAAAGAACCGAGAATCGAAACAATTGGTTTGCGTTATGACTGCGTTCTATATTCTTTGAACAATACACAATACTATAAATAATAGGTATTATTCCAATTAAGTCTCACGAAAAGGTTACGCGTTGAATGCTTAATAGACGAACGCAAGATTTTCTTTGAAATCAGTTCAGCTATTAATATCACACAACTATTTCTGAGGAATAATTTGGCGTTATATTTATTATTGATGCGTGTAGTGTTAAATTGAACAATGAAAATACTGTTCAACGTCATGCTTGAATCTGAAACATTCCTTTTAAAAAGTGAAATTACAGTTGGCATCGAAACAGACAATATACTTCACTCTCCATCCACTAATAAATAGAACCAATGCAGATTCGCATAACGCATGATGCAACGTTTCACTGAGACTATCCATATTACTTTTCAGAATTATAATCCCCTACCCGTTAAACCTATGTTCCAACATCATCATTTTTGTGATAAAAAAACAAAAATAATCATAATAGATCAATCATTGCTGTGTTTTACATCAATCCTGTTTCAATCCGTCAAAAACAATGCTGAGTGATAAAACTGTGTGAAACGTGTCGAAATGAATATGATAAAAAGATGTAAAACTGATAGTGATCAATTTGTTTAGGACTCTGGCATTAGTAGTCCGTGGGGTATAAACATGAGGTTTCAAATAAGACTTTTGACCCCTACCGAACTTTTCGTTTTTTAAAATGGTTCTTTGTAGTTATTGTTTCTTGTTAGTGGTTTGGTTCTGTAAAACAAATACTATATATGGTGTGGCACTAACTATTTATTTGAAAGAAAGTGTTACATCAGTTGATTACTCAGATATCACTAAAACTAGTCCCGTCATCTTTTGTTCGACAGTAACCTTCCATCGAAAAACCTTCATTTGATCTCTTGGATCGTTATCTTCGTAAAAAATAGATATAGGGGAACTTGGAGATATAGAAAACGGGCTTAGGTAACTAAATCCAACAGGTGGAGTAAACCAAGACCATCGTTTATATTTGTATATTTGTTTCAACAAACTAGAACATTATGATTATGATTAAACAATGAAAATAATCCCAATATAAATTAACGAAAGATTAATTACAATACCTTTGTCCCAATAAAAACTGTAAAAATGGTAATATGTATTTGTCTATTTCGTAACATACAAACAAGTATAAATCGAGGTTTAACCATTTTAAAGACATATCGTGTGTATCAAGCCAATGAATTCACGTACGTTATTTGCTTTTATTATTTATGTCGCTTTAAATGTGACAGTAAGTATGCTAGTATTAAATTCCCCCAAAGTTTGTTGATCCATACCGATAGGGGACTTTTCATACTTAAAATATTTGATAACAGAAGGATAATATATCTTACATTAGGTCAGCTTTGATAATAGTGTAGTAGAGCAAAGTTATGTATGCACATCCGGTTTCAATTCAAATAGTTACCAACAGCAGTCCACTTTATTTTTTGAGTAGATTAAATACTGATAAAAACTACACAGGCTAGACTTTTTATATTCTGTTCATTGGTACTTACATTGCCGAAAGGTTATGTGAACTGGTCCTGTTTATGTCAACAAACAACAACAACTAAGCTTCACCATGTAAGTAAAAGAGTATAGATCCCTTGAATGGTGTTTTTACTTAACCGATGGGCATGTTTATTACCTTTCCCCTATGACGATTTTGACTCGAACTTCATTGGAAATTGTCTTTACGCCTATACAATGTGTACATTTCATATATTTTCGATGAATAGCGAAAATGAACGTAGATTTCTTACATCGGCCATTATTCAAATTCATTCAATTCTGAATAAAGTAGTCCAACGATGAGGCATGAAGACGAAAAAGAAAAATATCTTTTTATTCAACAAAAGCTTCCTATAAGAAAGGGTAGACAATTATAGAATATTATTATAAGTACGTTCTATTGTATAACCTTAGCACCTATTAATATGTTGTAAATTGACCCACCCATTTGTCTTTGTTGACATAATGAGGTTAAATAAAATTAAACCAAATATGTTAGGTACACAAAACTACACTTAGGGTCTACGTTCACCCACTCGAACTAAATACCAGGGTACATGATAGGGGCAATAAATCAACATGGTTTACCTGACCCCATCGACCACTCATTATGGTAACTTAAAGGGTTCATATCTGAATTTACAAAATAAAATAACTTCCACTGTGATGGTTGTATGATCATTTTGGTAAAGTTAATTGGGTAAAATCTCCCTGCTGTGATTCTATTGCTAATAGTGTAGTTCAGTTATTTGAAATTTACTTAGTTATTGATAGTGCGTTGCTAGATTTGAATTTGGAAGAATCAGTGTTTACATAGTGTCCCTGAATTTGTAAATCTTATCAATTTTATCCCATAGTGTCCCAGTTATCAATTATGCCTCTTTAAAGAGATATATGCAAACAAACTGTTGTTTAATGAAATAGGAAGGTACGATAGAAGCAATTGATAACCATAACCATCTGATTATTGTGTTCGTGGTACAGATACTTTAAGATACAATTTTGATTGCTATCGACTGTGTTTACTGTAGGCTGCCCCTTATCTAATCTGTGTCGGTGATTTTACTCGAAGAGCTAACATCTGCTTAAGGTAGGTGCTATTTATTCTGCTACCTACTCTTCCTGAACCTGAATTTTATATTTTCTTATGAAGGGAGCAAAATGATCCGATATAAATAACACAGATTTTGCATTCCATGCAACAAGTTTAACTCTTTAAGAACATGTCATGTTAAAAAGCAGTTTCAGCATACAGTTCCTTTACACATGTTAATTATATTAATTGAGTTCAAGATATTTTAAATAAGTGTTTAGTCACAGCTGTATAAGGCTGTGATGCATTTAAAATCTTTCTGAACTACTGAATTGATGAATATATATTGGATCACGAGAATGAAACCGTTATTGAGATATATCACTTTCAGAGAAAAAATACAGATGACGTACAATATTTGTAATAATACTTTCCAGGACAATAGAATGGCTAATAGAAAGTAACCATGTCATTAAAAGAAGGCTTTCGGAATCGGGGTTACGTCAATGATGAAGGGGAGGTAGAAGATGACGTATACCTGGTAGAGAATGGAGAAGGTGGAGTTATCAAAGATCATTCCGAGATACAGCAGAGAAGCACAAAGTGAGAATTACTTTTTATGGGATTTGATAGGCGTCCGCCCGCCTCAATCTTAAACATCTTGATAGGGCTGATTGTCATGATATATCGATCCTACCCATTATGATAATTTAGAGCATCACTTTACCGTAATGCAAGTAATTCAAGTACTTCTCTGGAAATGAGATGAATATCGTTGAACAGAAAAATACATCTTATGAATATGTAAACAGTTCTTCAATATGATGATACGATGCAAACAAATATTCATTACATTTATCTTCATTTCAGTAATTGATATTGGCATTCGATATCACGTTAAGCTTTCGGTATCATGTACACTGGTACATGTCAACACTGGTGTTGAGTTAAAGTCATTATTTCAACACTACTGTCAGTTGAAGTTACTTTTTCTTGGGTAGACTAAATCATTTGAGACCTTGAAATTATGTTAACTATGTGAAGCCACAAAATGTAACTGTTTAACATGATACTAAGTCGCAGAGAAAAAAAATTAGGGATAATAAATTTCACGCGAAGAAAAATAATATTTCTGCTATACGCAACTATTCGAATGTAATATCATCGTATTTCTGTTATAATCAAAAGCTCGAGAACACAACAAGAAAATTATAATAATATATGTGCATTACAGAAATATAAAGAAATGGGATATATTTCGAGAAGACGGAGAAGAAGAAATTTCCACCTCCTCAGAATCAAAAATATGGAAGAAAGTTAACCTCGTCGTCAAAATTTTAGCTAGTTTGTTTTTGTTTACAACCATTCTTGGAACAGCTATCATATCTAAACTCAGTTTCCTTTTTATGACTTACCACATAAACCCTATTCAAAAAGCTTTTATCATCGGAGACAACCCAAATATCACCGACCAATACCTCATCATTAAAACAAACGACAGGCCATTAGATGTCAAGTGGCTATGGAGCTTATTTTTATCAATGTGCTTACCCTATGCTTTCATTTTTGTGGGAAACGTTTGGGTCAATTGTTTTAAGACAACGAGATCGATAACTTTGCTTCCATTTATAACCGTGAGTATTTTCCAATATAATTTTAAAAACAATTCAATGCATTCTTCCATGGTAATGCAGTTAGTTTGATCTTATTAAGTTAATGTGGTCCGTTTTGGATTAAATTAATCTTTTCAGTTTATATATGGCTTTTCAAATCAAGATGTACGATTATGCCATATACATGTATTTTGCTTAATTGTATTTCATCCATTTCAGGTTTTTGTTACAGAAAGTCTTCATTCTGTTGGCCTATGTTTATTGGTATTTTATGTTATTCCAAGTTTTGATCCTCTGATAGGATGCTTGATGGTAATGAGTGTAGGATCTGTTCCAGGAATTGTTCGGATATTCGAAGATAAAGCTAGCCACCCGAATGTTACAGCTCATACAGTTTTTGACTCTAAAGATCGGAAAAGTCCTTGGCTACCAAATATCGTCAAGCGAATTTTGGATTTTCTTGTGCTTGCGGTTCATATCGTCGTGATCGTACTGTGGATTATCAGGGCCCATTATGAACTGCAATCAATTGCTTTGACGTCTCTAATCCCAATTTCTCTTTTTCTGTGCTCCCTCAATAATTGGGATAACTTCGTTAAAGGTGACTCTTTCTTGGTAGATCTTAAAACTCAAATTCGAAATCAGAGGGTAAAGCTTTATTTGGTCATTTCTTTGTGGAAAATCCTTATAAGCTTTGTTTTTTTGTTAGTGCTCTTTGGAGTAGGAAGCGATCAGTGCATTAGAACGCTGCTATCACTTGACTCTACTGCTAGTAACTGCTCTATATTTGGAGAGCTAAATCTTGTGGACTTAAGTCCTTTACACCAAACAGACTGTCATTACTTTTTTCCATTCTTGGTGGCTTTAGTGAACATCGTAAGTAGCGTCTTCTGTTATAAACTGTCCAAAGCCGCTTGTAAGATCCTGGTTCAGGTGGCTTGCTTTACCATACCATTATCTCTAGCAGTACCTGTCACATTCGCCTTGCTCATTCTTTCCTATTCCTCGAGCAACGCTAACCTAGAGTTTCTTCGATGTACCATTCAATGGGTGCCAATAATTTCTTCGGATGGTTTATCACCCTACCTCAATGGATTGCTACAACAGTACTGGTTTGTTATTGGATTTGCTGGGTATCTGTCATTCCTGTATATTGTTGGACATAATTGGCATCCGAGAACACGAAGGCTTTTGGCAACTGACAAGTGAGTTTAAGTATCGTTATTTTTAAAAACAAAATTCATTTTAATGAAAAAGTGCTTTATTCACTGAGAAAAATTATAATGCATGCAAGTCAAATCTTGACATAGTTGACTAGAACAATGTTTCCATTTCTATTTTAGATTGTTTACGAGAAGCCTTTACTGTGGTATATTACTTGAACAATCTATGATGCTGACAAGAACCAGAGATGAACAAGTTGAAGATCCTTGGGAGAAAAAAGTAGGTTAAATTCTACAAAAAGAAAATTACACACGAATTCAATAATACTAACGTAGCCCGAGCGATACAGTTAATTAAACGTATCAGTCAAAGGAAAGTATTTTCTATCTATCTTTAAATAACTAATAATCTACAAGAGTGATCGCTATCTTTACAGGAAGTTGATGCTCCATGGACAAAAGTTGATGCTTCTACTGAAGACTTTGAAGATTTCGATTTGATGGATACCAGTAAAATACGAACTGATTCTACACCATTTATCTATATATGTGCTACAATGTGGCATGAAACGGAAAATGAGATGATTCAAGTACTCCGATCCTTATTTAGGTTATATTTTTTTAGCAAATATTTGTATCTGCAATGGCGTTTCGCGAAATAAATAAGTTTAAGATTCTTTGTATTGATATTATTGTGTTTACATTTATGTTTCAACTGCCGCCTTTTCTTACAGACTTGATGAAGATCAAAGTGCCAGAAGAAAGGCAGTAAAAGCGTTTGAGATAGACGTTGAATACTATGAGTTTGAAGGTCTGTGTCGTGGTTATATCATTGAAATTTATGGAAAATTCGTCGATCAGCTGATTCCAAAGATTTAGCTGTACAAGGAAAAGAGGAAGTCAAAGGAATCTCATCTACTAATATCCGATTTAGTTATTTTGGATCAAATATGTGTTGACCAATTTATTTGAAGAAAACAATCATAACGTTCCCAACCAAAGAGCGAATAACCAAACACAAAGCAAAACTACACCCCAGTGGACTTTTTATGCGGACAATTGTTTTTAATTGTATTGGCAAATTCCATTTCAGCACATATTTTCTTCGATGATGCATTTGAGTTTCATGAAGAGGAAAATTTTGATTATGATGTCAATGATTTTGTTAAGATGCTGACCAGAGTTATAGGAGTAGCTGCCAAGTAGGTTAACAGAATATGTCAAAGACAACTTGTGCATATATTATGTCTAACTATATTATTAGCTCTGCAGACTCTCTGGGAGGGGTGAACTTTTAAAGAAAATGGGTTGCAGATTTCCATCAGGTTTTCCGGAATTTTAAATATTATTACAAATCTTATTTGTAATTTCGAAACAGCTTCCACATAATAACGTGAGAAGCATTAGGCATACATTCAATAATTTGAGAAAATCATCTAATCGTATGATTGTCTATTTATAGCACACAGCATCGTACCTCAATGAACATACCACCACCTACAAAGATACCAACACCCTATGGAGGTCGCCTTCTATGGACAATGCCTGGTGGTAATACGTTAACAGCCCACTTGAAGGATAAAACAAAGATAAGACATCGAAAAAGATGGAGTCAGGTACGTTTTTTTATGGGGAAATGTAATGTTAACGGAAGGTAAGGTAACATACATTTATGTTTCGGTAATGGACAACTTACGACTTCAAGTCTAGTCACCCTGTAACAAATGATTTCCCAGTGAAGGAGATACTTATATTCTATCACGGATCAAATTATTTTCCAGGTGATGTACCTGTACTACTTCCTATCCAACCAACTGATGTCACTACCAATCAGCTTAGACAGAAAGAAAACCAGAGCTGAAAATACATTCCTCCTCGCCTTGGACGGTGATGTTGACTTCCAACCAGAGGCATTACGAATGTTAGTTGACAGGATGAAGAAAAATCCTAAAGTTGGTGCTGCTTGTGGAAGAATTCATCCTATTGGATCTGGTAAGCATCTTACTTTAAATTCTTGTTGTCATTAAAAAGCCTGAGGACCCTATATCTCCTCTGATAATCACATTCTGTTTATAGGTCCTATGGTTTGGTATCAAAAGTTTGAGTATGCTGTTAGTCACTGGTTACAGAAGGCCACTGAACACATCATAGGTTGTGTACTATGCAGTCCTGGCTGCTTTAGTCTCTTTAGAAGTTCGGCTCTTATGGACGATAATGTGATGAAGAAGTACACGACTCCGCCAACAGAACCTCGACATTACGTTCAGTATGACCAAGGTAATCTCGATAAAAATATCAGTTAATCATAACAGAACATTTACAAAATTACAACGATAAATCAATCTTCAGTTTGAAATGTTTTGTATTCCGAATTAAATGTATATCCTCTGAAACATTTGCTACGGATTAATTATTGTCTGGTACGTTGCTAGATACAAATTAAGATATCACAGCCTATAATGTAAAACATCATTTTGTATTTCACAGGGGAAGACCGATGGCTGTGTACGCTGTTGTTACAACAAGGTTATCGGGTGGAATATTGTGCTGCCTCAGACTCCTACACATTTGCCCCAGAAGGCTTTTACGAGTTCTTTAATCAGAGGCGACGATGGACACCATCGACCATGGCAAACATCCTTGATCTGTTGAACAACTGGAAGAGTGTTACCAGAAAGAATGAGGACATATCTTGTTTGTATATCATGTACCAAATGGGACTGATGGCATCTTCCATTGTAACGCCTGGCACTATTTTCCTCCTGATAGTCGGTGCCATAACAACAGCATTTCCAGAACTTCCATTATTTGGTTCCCTCATTTTGAATATCATCCCAGTTGGAATTTTCATAATTATGTGCTTCACTACCAAAACATCTACTCAGGTAAGCAGAGGCGCATTGTGTGCTTCTTAGAAAGAACCTCGTTAATCATCTATTCTATTTTGTAGTATGGTTTTGATGTTTTCACACGTTGAAATAATTTGGGTAGTGGTTTTAAGAATATGAAGAATTTTGTAGCTATATGTGAACTCATTTTATTTCAGTTAGCGTATGCCGCAGTGTTGTCAGTTATTTATAGTTTGGTCATGATGCTAGTAGTAGTAGGTCTGATAAAACAAGCAGCAGACAATGGCTTTTGCTCAGTTAGCACCATCTTCCTTGTAGCAGTGTGTGGATTGTTCTTCATCACCTCCTTATTACATCCACAAGAGTTCACCTGCATTCTCCATGGATTCCTCTATTTCCTGTCAATTCCTTCGATGTCCATGCTTCTCATGATCTACTCCCTTGGAAATCTTCATGTTGTATCATGGGGAACTCGCGAATCTCCCAAACCAGTGACATCAGAAACCGGTCAACAGATAAAAAAGAAATTCTCAAATCCATTGGTGCGGATTTGGAATAATTTTTCTGGAAGTTCAGATGCGCAGGGCATGTCTTCGCTTGGAGGTCTGTTCAACTGCACATGTTGCTCAACAACAGAGATACATCAAAATGATGAAAAGATTAACCAAGTAATGGATCGTCTCGATGCAATGGAAGAAAACAAAAAACATCAAGATTCTGTGAAATTGAGAACTAGTAGGAAGGCTAGGAAAGAATCTGAAGACAGGGAATCTGGGAAATTCAGGATTTCTTGGGCACCAGGTAGGCAATACTGTTGACACCTTTACCACTGTAATATGTAATGTACATATACTCATTTATATCGCAATTTGCTGATTTATAGAGCAGAGCAGTCAGACTAAATGTCATTTAAATAAAAAAGTAATGTTATACCTTATTTTATATAGATCAAGTGGAAGGCTATGTAGTATCAGTAACCAGCACTGAGTCGAATAATTTATTATGGCTGACTGACGAAGACATTGGAAACGGCAATGTCGAATTGTTAGATCCAAGCGAGATCAATTTCTGGAAAGAATTGATTGACACCTATTTGTTCCCTCTGGAGAAGGACGCAGATCACGAGAAGAAAATGCAAGGCGATCTTTTGGAGCTTAGAAACAAAACTTGTCTCTTCTTTTTCCTCATTAACGGGTTGTTTGTGGTACTGGTATTCACATTAGCAATGGTTGCTGAAACAACCACAAGTCTTACCTACAAGATTCCTTGCGACAGTGAAAGTTTTAAAGGAGAAGCTATCGAGCCATTATCTGTTGCATTTACTTTAGTATTCGGAGTTTTGCTTCTTATTCAATTTTTTGCGATGATGTTTCATAGAATCTCAACATTTTTGCATATCGCCGCAATAACTCGATTCCGAATTAGTCGAGCCAGCAGGGAAGAACTGGATACAAAGAAAATGACAATCGAAGAAGCGGTGAATTTAGTGAAAGAGCTACAGCGCCCAAAGGACGGAGACGCTATGTCTGTGACGTCAGACTCACTAGATTTAAATGATGGTGCAATTGAAAACACACACCTTTCTGTTCGAGAAAACGATAAATGGAAACGCTTGGCAAGTAGACGCCACATGATTACCCGATTATCTAACAAACCCAAAAATTTGGACACAAACTTCGCTATAGAATTCGGTAAACTTGTCACTAACATCGGTTTAGGAAATGAATCGGGGGAAGGCAGAAAGAATCGACCAACTTTTAAGAATATGAACCAAACATCGATGTACGCTATAACTAAGATTGCCGAATCGAATGAAAAATTTCGGCAAACGATAGCACGAAAAGCAACCATCCTAAACAAGAGAAGAGCACACTCAGAATCAACAGAACCCCAGAGTAACAACGGACCAAGTGCATCTCAGCGTCTTTTGGCACGACATAAAGAAGCAAGGCCAGTTTCCTCCCTTGGTGACAGACCAGCTTCAGACATCAAAGATTATAGTCCTTATGAAGGTTTCTCAAAACGAGTTTTAGGAAAGACCACCTCAGAAGATGTTGCTACAACCGAGATCTAAGCATGAGTAGTGTATAAGCTGCTACCATGTTCCTATACCAGGCTGTAATGTAATATTTCGTAGATTTTATTATATGATAGTGAAAATTTTATATATTTCTATTATACTTTTATAGTATGCAATTGAAATAAAAAATACATATCCCATTGCGTCAATACTACCGAACAGATAACCTGGGTGAGCTCACTTATTCTAATATCATAACCCAATCTTTGCCTGCGTTTGTTTTAAATCAGCAGACCTAAAAAGGTCAAACGTATAACCATGGCTCTTAAAACGAATATCCAGCAAGAATCGTGCCTTTCAGTGTTTCAAAGCGTTTTCAAGAATGAGGTCAATAACTCATTATAGAATAGTTTTCGACTTTTTGATTTTCAATAGGGTTCATCTATGGATGATAATAAACAATTTCACCAAGTTTCGTCAAATCCGCCAAGAATCATGCCTCCTATAGTGCTTACAAGGTAAAAATTGAAAGAATTTCCAACAATAAGGGCTCATATTAAATATTTTCCATAGGGTTCATCCTTGGGTGATTTCAAACACTCAAACCAAGTTTCATCGAAAATTCGTCAAGAATTGTGCCTTCTTAAGTGTTCACGAGCTAAAAATTCAACGCTTTTTTAAGACAAGGGTAATAGCTCATATTAAATATTTTTCGATTGTCAATAGGGTCATCCTTGGATGAACCGAGGTCCGTCAAGAATTGTGCCTTCTGGAGTGTTAACGAGTTAAAAATTGAACGAGTTTTCGAGAACAAGGACAATAATTTTTTCTGGATTATCTGAGAAAATAATCTATTCATTTCAATATACCTCAGGGGCGACGACAAAAATGCACGTTTCATGTCTACAGGCGTATAAAAAAAACAATTTCAACAAAACTTTGTCCAGAAAGATTTTAATAACAGGCGCATGAATAACCACCAAAATTATAAGCAGAGTTAAAACACTAGTACTCAATTGTAGCAAAGACATCAGAAAATATTTTGCTTAATTAAGGAATTCAAAAGAGGCTTCTTTGTATGTGTATATAGGACACATTAGTACCGATTGTTCATCCTATTTTTATGGTTCCTGAAATTCCAGAAAAATCTTTGACTCCGCTACGACCTAAAACCATTCAAGCCAATCGGTAGGCTTACGAAACCCCTTTTAATCCCGTATTAGTGTTTTTTTGTTTAGAACAAATAATATAAATAATGGTCTCAGTTCCAATATGCACACGATATAGAACGTCATAAACCATTGTGGACAAAAAAAATGACAACTCACTTTGAAACCACAATTTGTTCAATTTCAACATAATTACAATGAAGCAAAAATATCTTTGAAGGGGTTTAGGTCATATTTTGATATTAAATTACATTTAGAATAAGTGCAATGTCTAACTTAAATGCTCGATATGCTGAAACTCCCTTCAAATTCAAATTTTCAGTCGCATGCAACCGTATTGTATTTAGTCGAGCCGGCAACAGCGTGCTATAGTGAAAAATAACAAAATGTGATAATAAAAAAAACATGATTTTTAGAATTGTTTTGATTTGTTGTTGCCAAATAATGTTCTTAATAATAAAACATCTAATTTGAAACCTCAATCGTTTACTTATAAAAAAAAACTGTACTGGGTTGCACCAAAGTATTGTATATGTAGTTAATTATCATATCACAGAACTTAATTCAACTTAATATTGTGACACATTTTCTACAACATTTAATCCATTTATTATAATATTTAAATTCTTAACGTTTCTTTTCAGTTCTTTCAAATCATTTTCTAAGCAAATAAAAAGTCTAATTTACACAACCAATGTTGACCAAGTGTACAAATGAATTGTTTTAGGAATGTTCTAATTTAAAAAAAAATAATCCTATTCAACAAAAGTGTTTTTATAGTGAGTGTAAAAAGTGACTATTTCTCATAAAATTTGTCACAATCAAACACAATGAATTTATTGTAGGCTTCCTGAGATGTGCATTGTTTTTCTGTTCACGAACAGTTCCTAGTCAAATTTATACAAAATTGGACAAGAAGCTAATTCCAAATATCTTTCGAAAAACTAATGTCTGGTCAGCAAGTTTGGACATTTATTCCATCATATGAACCAGGGTTGTTTCTTGCATGCACGGGTTCCTATGATTTCAAAAAACATTTGATTGAGCATGTAAAGCCAGAACATGGTCATAATAATAGTCACGATATTAACTGCACAGGTCTTAGAATTCAAACTATAAGGATATAGAACTATCGTTGAATTTGCCTTCAATATAGCAGTGATAAAGGTATGAAACAAACGGTTGAACGGGGCCTTTGGCTTCCATGAGGGATTTTCCCATGATAAATTGCTTATTGCTAAATTTTTAGTGGTTCTATTCCAAAAAAACAAAAACTTCAGGCCATAATTCCAGTAAATAAGATAGGTCTGAGTTCCCTGATATAGTCATGTCATGTAACAATGTTTTTAAAGAGATAAAATCATCTAAGTATTAATATACTGTATAGCTAAAGCAAAAGACAAAAGTAGTATGGGATAACTGCCATTTGTAAAAGTAAATAATTTTAAATACAAAATAGACAACAAAAATATTTGATATTAAATAACATTGTGTTAATAATAACAGTATAATGACTGAGATTTTCTTCAGGTGTAAACACAAATAAGTACAATAGATAATAAGACAAATTTATAAACATTACTTAAATAATATATAAAAACAAAACAAAATTTCTGATATTAGTTAATTAACATTAGCAAACAGACAAGCAAACTAGAATTTCCAGAATAACTCAATATTTTATTTGATATTTTGTATCTGAAACATTATATTTTTCTGAAATTTTCTTTCATAGATATTGAAATATTTTGCAGATGTCCTCAAACACATTTTAAGTCTGTCATTATCCATAGTCCTTAGTTATGGGTGATCAAAGGGAGACAACTACTATTTCAGGTTATGAAACAATTTTGTACATTTCACTCGCCTCATTTAGCATTTAGATAAAAAGATTTACTGATTCACAAAAGCAAAATACATGAGCTGCACCATATAAAAGCTTTGAACTTGTTACTTGATAAAAATCTTTTGAATTTCATGTTCACATTTTACTATCTGAATTCTATTTATTCAAAACAAAGGCTTTGGTAGATGTTAAATTGTTTTTCTTCAAAAAAATGAATGGTTTTAAATTTGCAGAATTGCATTGACTTATAAATTGTAATTAAATTTTATTTTATAAGCAGCATGATTCATGAGTCAATTTTCACCAAATTCATAGATTTTCAGTTTGTTATCAAATAACAAGTTCAAATTGAGATCTGTAATTTGTAATGAGATTTTTAACTCGCCTTAACAATTTCGTTAACCTTCTTGTCGACTAACCCTAAAACAAAAAAGGTGGTGATAATTTGTGACATAATTAAGGCAGTAAATCCAATTAGAACGTCATTGATGTTCATGCCAGTGTGAGCAGCTAAACCCATGTCTACATTACGATCAACTGCTCGCATTTGGTAAATAACCGAAAAAATACAAAGCAAGTGGAATATTTGATGACCATGACCTACGTAGTCAAACATTTTGGGTCTGTATCTTTCAGGAATGTGTGCAGCAAATGCTATTCCTTCCAAAACACAGAGAAGGCATGAAATGGTGATGTGATTCAAGTTCCAAATACTGCATTCAGGATCAAAAAAATAAGTGTAATAATTTGATAAAAGAGGAGTAACTATCCATGTTCCTTGTATCGTGAATGCAAATACACACATTAACTTTCGTTGTGCAGCATGTGGCCCAACAAAGGTGAGTTTTGCAATAACGCAAGTGGCATAGACAAACCACCCAACAATGACATTGCCGATTATATAAAATGGCGCCATGACATCATAGACATTGGGTTGACAGCATGAGTAAAATGTTGCGATCCCAGCTCCAGATCCATATAAACTAATACCAGCGTAATCTGCTAGGCTCAGTATATAATGTACCTTAATGGATTTTAAATGAAGCAAATGGGACATAGAACTAAAGAAAAACATTGTGAGACAGCTAAGTCCAAAAGCCAAGAGAGCTCCACCATCTTTGTCGCTAAATAAATCATACTTTAGACCAAATCTTGCCAGTTCTCCCAGAACAAAGAGACAGGCTACTAAATGAGTCCACACATTGATTGTTTCGTTGTGCCATTGAAATAAACTGACAATGTAGTATGACCAGGATTTCTTTGGTAGACGATAGCCAGTTAGAATGTATGGTTCTCGGAATGGTGCTGGTATAGATTTTGAATTCACTGTCTTCTGTATACAAAGATAATGTTTGATTAGACCAATGGTAGAGCTGACTAGAGACATAATGAGTGACTGACAAAACTGAAAAGAAAAAATATAATGATAAGCTTATCTATTATTCACAAATCCTACGTATTTACAGACTTCCACTTAATAAGGGAATATGTAAATTCATGCAATCACAGTTCAACAAAACATGCATTTGGACTTAAATTTGCTACTTAACAAATTTATTCCAAGCTTAACAAAATCTCTCTTCCCACATTAAGTTCAGAATTTGTTTTTTTCCAAATAAATATTCAAAATAAAATTTTCCATTGTATGTCATTGGATACCATACAAAAAGGTTTGTGATTTCACCTGTGAAATAAGTAAACATCCCCCCAAGAAATTTATCTTGAAAAAAAACCATTTCCGTAGTGCATATTTCCCATAAGACACTACTCTCTGGCCACATCAAGTTCTAAATCACATTTTGGCTATCATATTTGTATGAATTGAAATATTTATCTCCAAATATTGCTGAGAGTCTTGTGTTGTCTATGGGTTGATGAAAATGCCAACCATTTCATAGGAGATTTTCGGTTCAAAATGTGTGTCATTTTCACATGAAATTTCTTCGAAAGAAGTATGTTCATTTCAAATGCAAAATTTTCAAAACTTATATTCATGGATCCAAAGGCATTCTCACCTAAGACAATTGGTATTCACCTAAAAATCATATTTTGAATATTTGTGACATGAGAAAAAAATTCAATTTAGCACTCAATGTGGCCAGAGAGTAAGTGGTATTTGGAGTTTAAATGAGATTCTGTAGACATTGCAAGGCAGAGAGTAGAACTACACAGCAATGGTCCATTTTCATGTAAAAAGATCCATGGGAATTCTGTGACGAATGTTGAAAAATTCTTGTTAAATACTTTTGAACAAATTCAATTCATAAACCTGTGATCCAACTCAACACAGAGTTAATAAAATAATTCATATCAATCTGACTCTCCTGGGCTATATTTTATTTCTTTTAAACTGGTATTTCAAAACAAATTACATAACTGATAAAGCCAATGAATATAATTTGGCACAAATTTCAGATCACAGTGATAATAAAGCAAGAGTAGAAGGAACAGCAAAGGATTAAAAAGACAAGGTGACCGTTGTTGAGGTCAGAGGTTGGTATTTTATACACACCAATTTCATAACTTCCGCAATGGCGGTATATTTATATTGGTGTTTGGACTTTTACATTACCATACTTATTAGGTATTTAATTCAAAATATTAAAAAAAAATACTTACCTGAACCTTAAAAATACATGGATAGATGATAAAGCTCCTTTGGAGCAATGTTTTTCTGTAATTAAGAATTGACTTTACTAACGTGTTGAAATATTCGCCATATTGAATATTGTATTGCCACGTGACATTTATAAATAGAACAAAGTTAAGGTGAAGTTAGCCAACCAATCCATCAAGTTTCGTTCAACAGATATTCCTTGTCTTAGCTCCGAGCCTGGCATAAACGACTCAGTGGCGTTTCTAACAATCATAAGTGTGGAGGGACTTAGGTTGTCCATAGTATGTTATGAATGAAAATGGGGCGGAGGGGGGTTGGGTTCGAACTACACCAAGCCGAGCCATCCTCAATTCCTGATCTCCTATGGTGATTGAATAATAAAGTCTTTGAATGGCAATTCGACTCAAAGACCATCAAGACAAGCCCGGCAATGAAGGAACATCTGCTGTGGCTGAACATCTTGCTATGGGAAGGAAAACAGGACATAAAGTCAACTTTGACAACACCAACATACTGACAATCAATAAGCACATAGATAAAACCAGGAGACTTCATGAAGCTATCCACATCAGAAGATATCAGCCTGACCTTAACAGAGATGAAGGTGTTCGTTTATCGCATGCATATGATAAACTTATCAACTTGTAATTATTCATATTCAAAAACAATTTCCAACTTTAAGCATAGTTAGTTATATGAACAATGTAATTTCTATTAATAAAAGACTCCAATACCAGCAATAGTTGTTTATTTAATCTTCAATTAATCTTTTTTAATTCATTTACTTTACTTCAATTATTTTACTTAATCAGCCTGTATGTTATTTTAAGAATTATATACCTCTTATTGTACCTGTTAAAATTTAATCAATGTATCAATAAACCATTAATGTATATATAGTTTGCCCATCACTTCTTCTCATTATGTGCCTGAGGACGACGGGGGAAACACGTCGAAACGTTGCATAAAACTTTAACCAGTGATTGTTGTTCCATAAAGCTGTGTCTATAGATTGAATAATAGATTTCAAAACGTTTGTGCATCCAGTATTTAGAGCGACCGTATGATCAGTTTTTGTCTCGAAGCGTGAAATAGGCTACTAAAAACTGCATGCCATCACGACAAAAATGAAATAAATGGAGTTTTACGTCCTACTTTTCTGAACTATGTGGGCTAATGAAGACGGGTAACGCAATGTAGGTACAATGAGGGGTATTTTGCCAGGACAGCGGTATCAGCCTGCTCGTTTTCGATTATCAACTGTGCACAGCCTGTAATCTGTAGCACACTGGGCCTCGGTTTATTGTCCCATCCGAACGACTAGACGCTTTTTCAATTTACCTGCCTCACGGACAGGGGGGAACCCGATTGAAAAATCCGAATCCCTATGCCGGAATTGAACCATGGACCTTCAGGTTTGCGAGCAAGCGTCTAACTCACTAAGCCATGTCCCTTACCCTTTCAACTAAAACCATCACTAACAGCTATTATACCTTTCAATAATGTATTATAGATGTGTATTTCTAATGATAACTTACTGTAATTAGAGAATATTTAATTGTCAATGTTATCTATATTCATATCTGTTTGTTTGGTAGTCCTGGGAGTTTGAACACCAAATAATATAATCTGTTGTGATTGAAAAAAGTTGTGATTGTCGCTTATATTTATACTGTGAAGTTTTTAAATGATTTTAAAATACTTATTTCAAATGTATTTTTCTGCATCTCACTGTCTTGATTGAACTCTGAAGATGACCACGATCCCTCCCCACCCCTTAAAAAATTCAAGCTCGACATTGCACACACCCATATCAAACTTTGGGTTCGCTACGGGGCATTTGTGATAAATGTATTCTATTTAGTTTCAAAAAGGGTGCTTTGGGGGTTGGGATGACAAAAAGTGAATTGTAGGCTATTGCAGGCTATTTTTATCGTCGATATTAAACAGACATAAGGTTTACACACCAAGTCTTCTTCTATAAACCGCCTGGTTGAATAACTCTCACCTGAAATCCACAGGTGGCCTCCACAGAAAAATACTTTCCAAAAGTTCACTAATTATGAAAGCGGTCTGGATATTTTCAAACGAGTTAACTTTAGTATAGCCCCTTATTTGATTATGACATACCGTCTCTTGGTGGTGGTAGAAGGTCTACAAAGAAGAGCACAGTCCATCCAGATGCATTGGCCACTTCTTCCAAATCCGTTCCAGAGTCGACCACTAATACTACTTGCACAGGGGATCCATTTTGTCTCCAAGATAGTTTACAATTCTGGTTCCATTTTCATAAAGTGCAGTTACCAATGCGATAAGTTGAGCTTCTTAAAGTGAAATACACACATAATAATATTATTGAAAAGTACATGCCTGATATTACAAGAATACGGTTCCACGGTTTGCATACCAGATGACGCACAGTGTGCATGTATATATCAGAATCGGAATCAAGCAATTTAGAAGATAACCAACGATACCGCTTTCTGTGCTGTTTGGGCCCGGATAAATGTTTTTTGTTCCTGATGAAATTTGATTCAAACACGTTCCAGCTTTGATCAATTTACACGTTTATAATAAAGTTGCCTGCGTTTCCTGAATTGTCAGATCAGCGCATATTTTGCCTTCGAAACAGGATGCTCTATATAATTCTTTATAAAATAACCCTAACTGCGTGTTTTTTGACATATCATGCGCTGTTATGAAATCATGCCATCGTTCTGAAATGAGATTTAATGAAAATTATACGATTGATCTGCATGGGTGAAAATTGATAATAACTTGGTCACTTAGATAATGTTCATTTTGCAAAAAGGCCTACGTTTTACATTGTAAAAAAAAATAGTCTGTGGATTTCAATACTGGATGAACTGTTATCGATGGTATATCGAATTTTAAAGATTCGAATATCAGCACCAAAACAATATTAGTGGCCGCATGCAGCGCTCCTACTAAGCTAAATTTTGACTTAATTTGGATTTAAACCGAACTTTGAGTATGCACCGGTCAAAATTTGCGAAAGTCATGCTTAATATTTACTTTCAAACGTATAAAATGAAAGATGTGGTAAAGTTACCTCAGTAGGTGAACTGGAGAATAATTTAGATCAATTACGCCGTTTAATGGACCTTCACCGACGCGCATTTAAGTTATTCACAGAACTATTAAAGATCGATTTAGTTCATTGGAATGTTTAGATGGTACCAAATTAATTATGGATAAGTATTGATTCAGACAGGTGTATGATACACCAACGCTGCGATAAAGCTGTTCATATTCAAACCGCGTTACAACATTTTATAATCAGGCTGGTATTCATCTGGTCATTTCAGTTATTTCAGTAAAGCTACACAATGAGCATCCACGTCCACTGTCAGCAAAACTATCAAAAATATAGCGCGGCAATATCTAGCCTAAGATCCAATGTTATTACTGGTGTAACTTTACCACTTCTTTCATTTTATACGGTTGTAAGTAAATGTTAAGCATGATTCGTGAAATTTGATTGGTGCATATACTCAAAGATCGCCTTTAGTCCACTTTAGTCAAAGTTTAGTTTATGTACAATCGGTTGCATACGACAATAAGTTCCTAAGTAGAAAAGACCTGAATTAAAACAAAGAAAATGCCATTTATTTCAATCATCTTACCCTCGACGATATTATCATCGGCTGAAATAACGAGTATCAGCACACTCAAACAAATTAAAATTGCTTTCAATGCCATATTTAACCGGTACAATGTATATCAGAGGATAGTAAAATGGGCTATCTGTACATGTTTAAATAAAGCAAAATTTTGGTAACCATGACTACACGATTCATTGATTTTTTCCATAAACGCTCGAATTAAGGCGGCTTGTGAAGCATGATAATATACGCCCACAGGAACTTCATTAAAATTAAACTTTGAGCAGAGCGACAACCATCACACAATTATTTATTATTAAAGCCATTCAAAAATGATTTTCTGTTCTATAGGATTTCCCTTTCCTGAATTCTTTTAATCCGACCATATCATTGGTTAGTTTTGATATATTTATATTGTTACAAATATGAGATGATTATTTATTATTTATAATTTCTAAATTATAATTGTCGTTTACTATTTTCTGTTTTCTTTTTACACTCGCATATTCAGTTATTTCAGTAAAAGGACACAATGAGCATCCACATCCAGCATAACTGTCAAAAATATAGCACGGCAATATCTAGCCAAAGATCCAATGTTAATACTGGTGTTTAACTTTACCACTTCTTTCATTTTATACGGTTGAAAGTAAATGTCAAGCATGATTCGTGAAAATTGAGCGGTGCATATACTCAAAGATCGCCTTTAGTCCAACTTTAGTCAAAGTTTGGTTTCTGATTTATTGCCCTTGAACTTGTCCTGGACAAATTAGGCGCGTAGTCACTGTACTGTTTTAAGCTTTATTGATATCTCTCAACACAGCCATATACAGTAGTCTCTCGGAAGAGAGTGAAAAACTAAAAATACAAATACAACTGATAAATACAAGTACAGATCTTATGATTCTTCTCATTTTGTCAATATAATAGGCCTATCTTACATGTGGAAATTAAAGGTTACACCAAACGAAGTTCACATGATGACATGTTTTAAACTGAACACAGATGAAATAATCAAATTTTAGACACTTTGCTAATTAAACAAATCTACAATAACATAAACTGAAATTACCCTGTGAGAGGCAACACTTTCTGAAATGTCTAAGAATATGAAATAAAGGATAAAATGGCGGTGTTTACATTAATGTACTTCCATAAATTGGAGAGTTTTCTAAAGGGACGCAACTTTATTTAAATCAAGACAACAGTAATCGTATTATTCCATCACACTCCCCGTCTGAATTTTAATAAAAAATTCACTATCTACTTAGAATAGCACTATAAGACAAGTTAAAAGACATTTCAAAATAACAGAATCAACTTTAGTTGTTAATATCACCTTCTAACAAGACAATAAGACGGATATACGACACACGTTTACCATTCTTCTCAATACGAACTTCGACTTTACGAATAAGGTTATTGTCACTAGGGAAAACGTTTGTAACGATACCTAAAGGCCATTCATTACGA